TTCATCACTTGTTATTGCTATCTGCCGAAGCGTTATTTCTTGTGACAACAATATGTGCTATAATAGGTGAAATGGTAACGGTAGAAGAACTCACAAGAGTCTCAGCTTCGAGTAGATTTTCTCCCATCGGGATCGGCTAGGTGTCGCTGAGCTGCGGCTTTCCTGAATGTAATGAAACACCCTATAAATAGTAACTCCTTTAAAAATAGGTAAATCACATTATTTGCCATTGCTGCGTAGTTGCGTATACGGCTTTCAGTTGATATCCCCTGCAAGACAAGCATAGTGAAAAGACAAATACAGAACAAGAAAAAGAATTTTCGGTTTCTGGCCAGGAAAGCGACTCGGCTATCCGACTCTTCAGTTACATACATCCATCAAATCGCGGACTCGTGACACGCACAAAGCATAAACGTCCCACGACTGTTGTTATATCACAACCTGACTTTCATAGTGGTACTAAATTGATGCTGAGGCTACATTCACACTTTGCTTCAGCGTACGGCGTTTCAGCATTTCGAGAGTACGCCAGCGCCAAGCGGATGGAAAGTATAGGTAACGATCTAGCGTACGCCGACGTTCGCACGCTGGAATACGCTGGATCAATATCTATACTCTCCTAGTCACAGGCGCTGGCGTACGATCGAAACGTTGCCGTACGCTGACGCAAAGTATGAACGAGCTCAACGTACGTGAGATGAGGGAGAGAGGGACACCCCAAAGCGTTTCTGTGTCCTTCCCTATCCAAGGTTTACGCTTAGAGCGCTGACGCTTTGAGTCGCATGGTCTGCTTCTGGAAGAGTAACCCGCGGCGGCTCTGACCATCTGCGCCCTGAGCCTGGAGTCTTGGCTACGGGAGATATGCAGAGACGCCGTGAGGTGGTCCCCCCCCCACAGCGCTAGTAAATCTTTATCACTTCGGGGTTATGCAATTATGGCTTTTCTGTTGCGCCATCAGCTACGCAATGATTAGCTCAAATTAGCTTCATTGCCATTCCAAGAAAATGAATGTGGTCCTATTCACATGTTTTTTGTTCCCACATTCTGGGAATGACAAGCGGTACGTCCTAGGCGGAGGCGACTAACAAACGCGGGCCTTCGGCTTAGCAAGCGAAACCACCTGTTTGACATTCACACCAGGACCTAGAACTGCAATACTGCAGTATGTCGAGTCAACCAACTGGTTGGGATACTTCGCCGCAAAGCACATTTATCTCCCATTCCCTCAAGCCGTGACTCGGTACCAGAATCGTGTGGGAGAATAAGCTTGCACTCCCACATGCCCCACAAGGTATTGTGTAGGCAATTTTGTGTTCAGTACTCCACTTCTATGGAACTATGCCACTAATAGAATGCATGTCGCCTCTCAACGAAAGATTGATCAACGGCGAAAAGTTAAAGGTTGCGCTCACATTTCGTGATAACGTGCGTCAAAGCGCTATCCTTGCAAACGTGCTCCAGTGCTGGAGACAAGTATCGATCGGTGCCGCCACCTAGTCTTCTGGGGAGCATGGAAGAAC